TTAATGAAGTCACTTCTCGCAATCCAACTAAAACCACTCCTTCCTGTATTATCAGTGAAAACGTCCCGGTAAACGACCCACGTTCCATCGCAACAATCATGAACGACTATTTCTCATCTATAGGATCCACGCTTGCGAACAAAATTAAAGATCTAATCAAACCCAAACCGACTAAGACCACCGCTACATCACCCCATTCCTTTAATTTCAAAGAAGTTGATGAAGTGTCTGTGTTGCAGGAACTGAGTAAATTAAGAACTACCAAAGCCACTGGTCTGGACGGAATTAGTGCTAAACTACTTAGAGATTCCGCCTATATAATCGCACCATATTTGACCAAAATTTTCAACCTCTCCTTACGCTGTGGCTCATTTCCCGACATCTGGAAGAAAGGTAGAGTTACTCCAATTTTCAAATCTGGAGACCCAACTTCATCCAACAACTACCGACCAATCACCATCCTACAAACCTTGAGTAAGTTACTAGAACGAATCGTCCACCATCAAGTTTACAATTACCTGCAAGAACACAAGTTACTAGCTTCCCAACAATTCGGTTTTCGCTCCAAACTGTCAACCACCATTGCTCTGGCACATTTTACTGAGCAGATACTGGATAATCTCGATCACAGAAAAATCACTGGTGCCGTCTCTATCGACCTAAGGAAAGCTTTTGATACCGTAGACCATACCATCTTATTGGAGAAATTGAAAACAATCGGTTTTACCTCGTCTGTTCTCGACTGGTTCAGCTCGTATCTATCAAACCGTACCCAAGTAACCGTGATCAACAGTTCAATGTCGCAACCCAAGCCAGTAACTGTCGGAGTCCCTCAGGGAAGTATTCTTGGACCACTTCTCTTCCTTATTTATATTAATGATCTACCTGAATGCTTGACCCACTGCAAGTCGATACTTTATGCCGATGATACACTCCTTTATTACTCTGCAGAAAGCATTTCCGATCTACAGTCAAAACTCAACTCCGACCTACGATCCCTTTCTGGTTATCTTAACAACAACCTCCTTACACTCAATCATGACAAGACAAAGTTCATCATTTTCGCCGGTAGACAACGCCTAAGATCCATCTCCAACATCAACATCTCTATTTGCAATCGGACGATAAAACAAGATCAATCGTTGAAATATCTGGGCATCACAATTACCGAGAACCTTACCTGGCATGAACATATTGAGAAATTAATGGGGAAAATCAACCAAAGATTGGGATTGCTGCGCCGTGTGAAATCTTTCTTACCGCTGGATGCAAGACAGATTTTCTATACTTCGACAATACTACCGCTATTTGACTATGCCGATGTAATTTGGGCGATAAAAACAATTCAGAACTCATGAACTCCTTGCAAAGTTTGGAAAATAAAGCAGCTAAATTAATACTAGATCTCCCTCCTCTTTCGTCGGCAACCGAAGCTCTCGCTACATTACACTGGTCAACTCTCTCATCTCGCAGATATAAACATCGTTGTATCTTTATCTACAAATGCACTAACGGACTGATAGATTTCGACTTCAATCTCACAACTAACAGCAGAATCCATTCCCACAGTACAAGATCGTGTAAAAACCTCCATCTCCCAAAAGTCAACACCAACTGGGGCAAACATAAACCAACCTACCTCGCTTCGAAAGACTTTAACAACTTGGACGTTTCCGTCAGAAACATTGATTCTTTGAGTCAATTTAAGTCTTTACTAAGGTCACATACCATACCATATAACTATTCTTAGCTGTACTTACTAGATATAGTTAATTATTCGTTTCTTTATGTCGTGACGTTGTATATTAATTGTATATATTTATATAAGTAAATTTTGTTAATGATTGTATCATGCAGGACCCCACTGAAAAACACATTAGTGATGTGGGTATCCTGAATAAATATAATTATAAATAAATAAATGACGAATCTTTGAGAAGAATATCGGTTAGATTTGTGCAAACTAAGCACGCCAATTTTTATCTAAGCTCGCGGGAAATTCGATTCATGATTTGTTCGGACGATTTTTCAACGGATTGTTTTGAGCGTTTATTTCATTTGGATGGTTTGCAACGACGACTCAATCCAGTTTCTGTACCTACTCTTTGCAGGAAAGCGCCTGCGCAACTAACAACAAGAGACAGGCGTAAGGTTTACTCAAATATTAATATATTTTAGCTACATACATATTTACATAATCTGATAAGTCCAGATCCAATTATAAATTCATGCGACAAGTGTTATTCTCATAATATTGAAAATAGGTTTTAAATTGTAGACGAGTTGGGCGAAACTGCAAACAAGACTGATACGTACATGCTCTTCCGATCTATCATCAGATAGCGAAGGTTCATTGTCAGGTTCGCTTGAATTCGCTGTTATATAAACAGATGAGATGCTGGAGAATCTGTTTCAGACAAATACTCCGAAACGCTGCCTAGATCGCGACGAACCTGACACATTCGATGCAGATCGGAAGAGTACTACGTTTGCTTACTACGTTTGCTTACTAATTCTACTTGAGCCCTTGCGGTGTGTTGAGAATATGACATCAGAAGCCTACCGTGACAACATAAAATCAAGATGGCGAATTTTAATGGCGGACAGCGATTTTGGACATTTCAAATGCTCGTAACTCCGTGATCGTTAATCATGTTCGCCTGAAATTTTACACAAGCATTTTTGGTGCAACAATAAAGTCGTTGCTAGCAAAAAAGGGGATTTTCTCGATGCTGACTTTTCGTCATTAAGATATGGGAATGACGGGATTAAGAGAGATGGGAAAAGTTTAACGAAATAAATTTCTATTATATTTTTGTTGTTTCGCCCGAGACCGATTATATTAAGAACTTTGCAACACTGGGGGGCTTAGGTGTGAAACCGGTCAAACGAGAGCGAATAATGGAGAAGTGGATTCAGTTAGGGACTGAAGAGTTTGAACGAACTTGAAGTGCAACAAGCGGTCAATGCAGACGGTGGTGTTATAGTGAGTTCAACTCAGGACTAGCCGCAGTGAAGTTGCCTCGAAGTTGTTTATTGACGATGCAGTGAAGTTGTTTATTGACGATGAGGACGATTTGGTATCAGTTTACAAAGGTTTGAGCGCTTCGTGAAAAGCAACAAATGGAACGAGTCGACTTGGGCGACGTCGCTGGGTGTTTTCTTGACATGTAATTAAGACGCTAGATGTTTACTTGTAAATTAAATTACAAAATTTAATATAAATATAATTAAACTATTAGCTAAAATAATTGTGCAATGTAGACGGCTTATCAATATACAGAATTTGTAGTGATCATCAAATTAAAAATATATAATATAACAGAAATCCTGAATAATTTCATTTTTGTTTCAACATTTTGAACAGTAATCATGTATATTTATAAATATATATTTATATATAATTATATATTTGGCCGTACAGTACTGTACCTGTCTCACTTTTGTGAATATCCCAATGACGAAGTGTCTTGTTCTCTTGTTTCAAACCAGTGTAAATAAAAGTCAGGTCATTCAGTTTTAATTAGATATCAGTTCAGGAACATACAAGTATAGCTATAAAGGGTAAGCAGATAATTAGTGCACAGATATAGGGAGGGTCAAAGCCCCCATGGTGCCCCATCCACTAAACCATCCCCCCCCACCCCTTTTCTAGTTGCTCCCGCCCCCTACTGACAAATTCCTAAGAAAGGCCCAGGACCGATACAGCAAATATTCTATTCACCCTCACCCATTCTGAAAAGAAAATCTTCACAATGAGAATGGTGGGAATACAAATACAATACCCAGTGCTGTAAGTAACTTCGTTAAAAGTAACTAATTACAAGTAATCGTTACATTTTTCAGTAACGGTAACGGTAACTTGTTACATTTTGAGAACATGTAACTGTAACGGTAACTAGTTACAAAAAATGCCATAAAATTGAAACGATTACAAGTTATTTTGCCAAAGTTACAAGTTACATTTTGTTCATTGCTATTTGCGGTGTACGTTTTTAAAATGAAATAAATCAATACACAGTCAGGCAAGCTCTTAATCATCTGCACAGGAATAATTTAATCTGACACAACAGAATCCGTTCAAGACACAAATTTAAGTCAAGGATTGACGTCAAATTTACGTACAGTTGGAACTGATCGGAATGCCGTCGCTCGCCTTCACTTGGGCCTTGGCCTCGTCATAATTGGTCTTTGGCCTCATTTCACTTGGCCTTGGCCCAGTCATGATCACGTATTCACGTTTCTGCTTTTTCATTGCGAAGTCAGAAGCCACTAGCCAGTGAGGTATATTTTTTTCCAATCTATTCGTTCAGACTGTATAATAGCAGAGTTTTTTAAATTGACAATTCTATTAAAAAATCGATTTGGTGGAATTTTACAGATGCATGCAGATACATCTAGTAAATAGTTATTAATTTTGCCAATAATTTTGCCGCAAGTTTCATTACCATTCGGCCCATTCGAATTGTATGCGTTCTTAATTGCAATCAATAAATGTAACTTGTAACTTTGTAACTAAGTTACAAAAAATATTTTGTAACTTTGTAACTGTAACTAGTTACACTTTGGCGTCTGTAACTTGTATCGGTAACTAGTTATGTTTTTGGCAATGTAACTATAACTGTAACTAGTTTCAAATAAACTGTAACTGTTACAGCACTGACAATACCGACGCTCACGGGCAATACAACTGATGCACTGCTGTTAAACAGTATATTTATACTTACTCATAAGATATTTGAATGTT